ACTAGGCTAATCCTCCGCCTTGCAGCACCAGCACACCGGGTTCTAGTCCTGGTTTGGACAACGGATTCTGACCCGGTTACCCCTCTTCCAGGCCAGCTCTCTGCTATGGCCTGGGAGGGCAGTGGAGGATGGCCCAAGTGCTTGGGCCCTGCACCGCATGGGAGACCAGGAGAAGCACCTGGCTCCTGGCTTTGGATCGGCACAGCACGCCAGCCGTAGCGGCTGCAGACCTCTCACTTCCAACAAATCAGGAGAGCATCAGATTCCCAGTCACTCTCGGAAGTCTCCCAAAACCTCGGACATCATGCAGCTGTGCCAGGACTCCACCACTACCACTCAATCATAGCTCCACCAAGGAGACCTACCTCGGGTTCGAATGCACGAGTCAGGGCTCCCCACGCTGCAGATCATGTCCATCAGCCATTGCCGAGCCCTAGGTGGTCCAACGATGGTGACGCGGGTCTGACCCCTAGCCGTGAACCATGACTCCAACTGAATGAGGGTCTGGCTGTGCACCTCGATGCAGCGAAGGTGGGCATCATTGTGGCCTGTGAGCAGAAGCAGGGAAAGGACATGTAAGCTCCAGCCCCTGGGGAACAGAGGTCTTGGAGGTGGGAGCTGGGACCAGTGGGGTGCAGGGAAAGGCAGTACAGAAGCTGGGAACAGAGCATGGGATGGGGGGAGGTGGGGACAGCGCACACTCACCAAATATCTGCTCCTCCTGCTCCTCTTCCAAGTAAACCACCATCGGAGTATCAAAATTCTCAGGTACCATCCACCACGGCTGCTGGCTGAGGGTGCTCATGGCCATGGCCTCCACGGCTCCCTCCTCACTCAGAACCAGGCAAGGATAGGCAACTGCTCCACACACGACCTAGCAAGTGAAGAAGGGCCCAGGCTGGCGTCATATATAGTCCCTCAGACAACCCCATCTGCCCCACCCTAGAGAATATCCAATCACCGGAGCTCCTCCCATGAAAGTCCTTCAACTCCTGGTCTCCACTCCCTTAATCCTTTCATGCTATACAAGGTGTGGTTATCAGTGGTGCCTTTTCTGATGCCCAGGAAATAGGATTTTTTTTATTCTGATTCAAAGGATTTTGAGTACATCTGCTGGGCACTCAGCACAGAAGGGGCTGAGGGATGGAAAGTGCTGGAGATGGAAGGTTCCAGAATAGGTTCCCTAGAGTTTCAAGTAAAACCTTGACAATAGGGATGACATTTTAGAGCACCCAAGACTGAACCCTTTTTTTTTTTTTAAAGATTTACTTATTGATTTCAAAGAGTCACACAGAGAGCAAGAGACAGAGAGACAGAAAGACAGTGAGGTCTTGCATCCGATGGTTCACTCCCAATTAGCAGCAACGCCTGGAGCTGTGCCGATCCGAAGCCAGGAGAAGGAGCTTCCTCCGGGTCTGCCACACGGGTTCAGGGGTCCAAACACTTGGGCCATCTTCTACTGGCCATTGCAGAGGGCTGGATCGGAAGAGGAGCAGCCAGGACTAGAACCGGCGCCCGTATAGGATGCAAGCGCTTCAGGTCAGGGCTTTAAAACACAGTGCCACAGCACCACATCGCCAGTCCCCCAAGACTGCATCTTGAGAAAGCACCGCCCCACCATGAGATTCTGACTGAAACTATGATCTAAACTCAGACAATAATAATAATAACAATAACAATAATATTTACTGCATCCCACTTGGCAGAACATAGAAACTCCCTAGCATGATCAGTCAAGCTTAAAACAGCCTGGGGGCCAACATTGTGGCTTTCTCTCTAAGGGGATAAAGCCGCCACCTGCCGTGCCAGCATCCCAATGGGCCCCACTTGTACCCAGCTTTCTCCTTTCGAATCCGGCTCTCTGCTGTGGCCGGCGAAAGCAGCAGAAGATGGCCCATGTTCTGGGCCCCTTCTGCTCATGTGGGAGACCTGGATGGAGTTCCAGGCTCCTGACTTCCGATTAGCCCAACCCAGACCCACTCATTGCAAACACCTGGGAAGTGAAGAGGCAGGAAAAGGATCTCTCCTCTCTCTCCAACTTTTCCCAGCCTCATCCTATAACTTAGCCTTCCAAATAAATAAACTTTTCTTTTAAAAAAAATCAATTGAAGGGAGAGCAGCACTGAGGTGTAAGTTAAGCCTCCTTGTGCATTGCAGCCATCCTATATGGGTGCTGGTTCAAATCTCAGCTGCTCCACTTCCAGTCCAGCTCCCTGCTAATGCTCCTGGAAAAGCAATGGAAAATGGCCCTAGCACTTGATTCCCTGTACCCACATGGGAGACCTGGAGGAGGCTCCTGGCTTCTTGCTTTGAGCTGGTCTAGTGCTGGCATTTGCAGCCCCTTGGCGAGTGAACCACAGGATGGAGTATTCTCCCTGCCCTTTCTCTCTCTCTCTCTCTTCTTTTTTTAATTTAATTTAATTTTTTTTTTTTTTTTTGACAGGCAGAGTGGACAGTGAGAGAGAGAGACAGAGAGAAAGGTCTTCCTTTGCCGTTGGTTCACCTTCCAATGGCCGCTGCGGCCGGCGCACTGCGCTGATGCGAAGCCAGGAGCCAGGTACTTCTCCTGGTCTCCCATGGGGTGCAGGGCCCAAGTACTTGGGCCATCCTCCACTGTACTCCCTGGCCGCAGCAGAGAGCTGGCCTGGAAGAGGGGCAACCGGGACAGAATCCGGCACCCCGACCGGGACTAGAACCCGGTGTGCGGGCGCCGCAAGGCAGAGGATTAGCCTAGTGATCCGCGGTGCCGGCCCTCTCTCTTCTTTCTCTCTCTTCATCTTCTCCTTCATGTTCTGTAGCTCTGTCTATCAAATAAAAATTTAATCATTATTGAAGAAAATATCTTTTTTCAAGTGTCTTTGTAAAATTAAGTTTGTCTTCTCCTGTAGAAGTCCTCAAGCTAATTGTTAATTAGGAAACAAACATGGTATTCCCTGACAACAGAATGAGGTTTTTAAATATTTATTTATTTGGGGCTGACACTGTGGCTCAGCGGGTTAAAGCCCTGGCCTGAAGCACCAGCATCCCATATGGTCACCAGTTCTAGTCCCAGCTGCTCCACTTCTGATCCAGCTCTCCTCTATGGCCTGGGAAAGCAGTAGAAGATGGCCCAAGTTCTTGGGCTCCTGCACCCACCTGGGAGACCCGGAAGAAGCTTTTGGCTCTTGGCTTCAGTCCACGCAGCTCTGGCCGTTCCGGCAATCTGGGGAGTGAACCAGCAGATGGAAGACTCTTTCTCTGTCTCTACCTCTGTCTGTAACTCTGTCTTTCAAATAAATGTAATAATTTTTTAAAACAATGAAAAATAATTATTTATTTACAATTTATTTGAAAAGCCAGGCATACTACGAACACACACAGAGAGAGACAGACAGACAGACAGACAGAATGATTTCCATCTGCTGGTTCACTCTCCAAATGGCCACAAGGATGTATGAGGTCATAGAAAGGAGCCCGTAGCTTGTTCTGTTTCTCCCACATGGATGCAGGGGCCCGGCCACAGCGTGCCGGCCACAGCAGCCATTGGAGGGTGAACCAATGGAAAAAGGAAGACCTTTCTGTCTGTCTCTCTCTCTCTCTCTCTCTCACTGTCCACTCTGCCTGTCCAAAAAAAAAAAAAAAAAAAGAGAGAGAGAGAGAGAGACTGCTACATGGGAGCTTATGTGCAGATGTTGCATCTCTTGCCATAAGCTTGGGTCCACAGAGCTAAACATCGGTCTAGCTTTAAGGACAAAGCTTTTGAATGGAAATTTGTGAATCCTTCATATAAATACACTTATTTATGCTGTGAGGAGTACAGTCCTTTGCTCCCAGAAAAACGTGCCCCCTCTCCAACCCCTATCTGTGCAGAAACTGGGACAACCCTGGCTACCTCAAGTTCACGAGTGCTCTGGCTGCCTCTTTCATCAGATGGCTGGTGTGGGACCACGCTCTGTCTCCACCCAGATCCCTCCTGCTACCTTCCCACCCTCCCCATTTGTTTCCTTCTATTTGATTAAGATTCCTTTCTTTCTTTCTTTCTTTATCTATCTATCTATCCATCTGAAAGGCAGAGTAGAGTCAGAGAGAATCTACCATCCACTGGCTCACTTGCCAAATGGGGGCAACAGCCAGGGATAGGCCAAGTGAACACAGGAGCCAGGAACTGAAGAATTGTGCCATCTTCTGCAACTTTCTCAGGCACAGTAGCAGGGAGCTGAATCAGAACTGGAGCAGCCAGGTACCCAGATCTCAGACCCCAACGGTACTTCCAGGCTCCGAAAAACTGTGCAAAACAATGCACATCAAAACCTTTATAGAACACAGAGCTGACTTCATTGGATAAACACGCATAACATGAGAGGGACGGGGGTATCTAGAATTCAAACATCAGGATCCTCTCCCAGCTCAGCTTCTCATGGAGATTTAGGAAGCCTTAGTGTAAGTTCCTGTATTTCTTGCTGGAAGAACCCTTAACACATTCTCCCAGAAAACCGCCCTTTCCCCCTAGCTCGGCCTTCTGGTCGCAGGGACAGGGCCTGGCTGCCGACCTCACCTTCAGTCTCCATCTGGACCCCTCTTACTACCTTCCCCTTGTCCCTACTTGTTGGCACTGGAAGATAATGTCTGGAGTCCTGGGCCCCTGGCAGGGTTCCCACGTGCTCAGGACTCCCCTCTGCAATCTGCTCAGAGCAGACTGTCCAGGGCCCAGGCTGAGAGAAGCAGTCTCTGGAAGTGCTGTCCGCTGCTGCTCTGTCCCTGGGCTGGGCTTTCCCACAGTCACACAGGTACCCAGATCTCAGCACCCAACTGCCCACAGAGCCCCTCCAGGCTTTGAAAAACTGCAAAATAAGGCACATCAGAGCCGTTATAGAACACACAACTGACTTTATTGGATAAACACGCATAACGAGAGAGGGACGGGGAGGGGGAAATAGAATACAAACATCAGGATCTTCTCTCCCAGCTCAGCTTCTCATGGGCCATCAGTCCTCACGATGGATCGAGTGAATTCCTTGGAGTCAAAACCAACCGAACCGAGGCAGAGGGGAAGCCGGCGGGAGCCCGAGAGAGATGTTCCCACGCATCCTGGTGGCCAGAGACAGGTCGCCCGTGCTGGGCTGCACTCGGAAGCAGCTGGTCAGGTCCTCCTGGGTCAGTGGCTGGCTCCGCACACGATGCAGCATATCGCGGCCTGTGGAGGGAATGTCAGAGCTGGGGAGGACCTCCGCCAAGCAGGCCAGGACCAGCACAGGGGCACTGCTGAAGAGCGAATCACCCTGGCCCAGGCCTTCCCTGTGACCCTATGCCTCCTCCCCAATATGTTCTCCTCCTCAGTGACCTCTGGCCACATAAATATCCTTGGCTGCTGGCCCCTTCCCTCCCATGACTCAGGTGACAATCAGGAGTCCCAGTCACCTAGTGATTCTTCAACAACAGATGACAGCATCCATTTCTGTTAGAATCCTGTCTTAAAGACTTCATATAGGACTGGCATTGCTGCAATGCAGTGTAAGCCATAATCTGCAGTGCCGGCAATGAGAATGCGTTCAAGTGCTGCATGCTCAACCCCAAATCAGCTCTCGGAAAACGCACCAGGGGAAGCAGAGGAAGATGGCCCAAGTCCTTGGGTGCCTGCACCCAGAGGGGAGACCTGAATGGAGTTCCAGGATCTTGGTTTCCAATTTTCCCAACTCTGGCCTTGCCACCATTTGAGGATTGGAATAGAAGATAGAAGTTTAATCACTCTCTCTCCACCTCTCTCTGTGTGTGTCACTCACTGCACCTCATTCTAATTCTCCCATTCAATTAAAAAAAAATTCCTTTGCTGGCATCAAGGCACAGAGTGTTATCTGCTGTATGCAATGACAGAATCACATAACAGCACAGGTGGAGCACTGGCTGCTCCACTTCTGATCCAGTTCCCACCTATGTGCTGGGGAGGGCAGCAGAGGAGGGACCAAGTGCTTGGATCCTGACCACCCAGGTTGTGGACTCAGAAGTTCCTGGCTCCTGACATTTGCTTGTCCCAGCCTTGACCACTGCAGCCATTTGCAGACTTAATTAACTGATGAAGATCGATCTCTCTCTCTCCCTCCTTTCATTTCTTGTCTTGCAAATGTAATACTTCTTTACAAAATCAAACACCCTAACTATAATTATACCAGGAACACTGACCTTGGTCCTGCTGGTAGGGGTCCCAGTTCCCCAGGCTCCAGATCATGTCCATCAGCCATTGCCGAGCCCTTGGTGGTCCAACGACAGTGACGCGGGTCTGACCCGTAGCCGTGAACCATGACTCCAACTGAATGAGGGTCTGGCTGTGCACCTCGATGCAGCGAAGGTGGGCGTCATTGTGGCCTGTGAGCAGAAGCAGGGAAAGGACATGTAAGCTCCAGCCCCTGGGGAACGGAGGTCTTGGAGGTGGGAGCTGGGACCAGTGGGGTGCAGGGAAAGGCAGTACAGAAGCTGGGAACAGAGCATGGGATGGGGGGAGGTGGGGACAGCGCACACTCACCAAATATCTGCTCCTCCTGCTCCTCTTCCAAGTAAACCACCACTGGAGCATCAAAATTCTCGGGCACCTTCCACCACGGCTGCTGGCTGAGGGTGCTCATGGCCATGGCCTCCACGGCTCCCTCCTCACTCAGAACCAGGCAAGGATAGGCAACTGCTCCACACACCACCTAGCAAGTGAAGAAGGGCCCAGGCCGGCGTCATATATAGTCCCTCAGACAACCCCATCTGCCCCACCCTAGAGAATATCCAATCACCGGAGCTCCTCCCAAGAAAGTCCTTCAAGTCATGATCTCCTCTCCCTTAATCCTTTCATGCCATACAAGGTGTAGTTATCAGTGGTGCTTTTCTGATGCCCAGGAAAAAGTTTTTTTTTCTTTTAATTCTAATTCAAAGGATTTTGAGTACATCTGCTGGGCACTCAGCACAGAAGGGGCTGAGGGATGGAAAGTGCTGGAGATGGAAGGTTCCAGAATAGGTTCCCTAGAGTTTGAAGTAACACCTTGACAATAGGGATGACATTTTAGACTACGCGAGACTGCATCTTGAGAAAGCACTCCCCCTCTCCCACCATGAGAATCTGGTCTGAAATATGATCTAAAACTCAGACAATAACAGTATTCGTAAATAACAGGATACCGCATCCCACTTCGCAGAGCATAGAAACTCCCTATGTGATTGTCCAAGCTTAAAACTGATATGCTTGGGGCCAGCACTCTGACCTCACGGGTAAAGCCACCTCCTACAAGTTGTCATCCCTTAAGGGCGTCAGTTGGAATCCTGGCTGCTCCACTTCTGATCCAACTCTGCTATGCCTGGGAAATCAGTGGAAGATGGCCCAGTTCTTCGACCCTGCACCCACCTTAGAGACCTGGAAAAAGCTTCCGGCTTCTTCCTTGCCCTGCCATGATCATTGTGGCTCTGGGGGATGAGCCAGCAGATGGAAGACTTCCTGTTCCAATTGCCTCTTCCTCTCTGTAACTCTTCCTTTCAAAATCAATGAATAAATCTAAAAAATATAAATAAAGCAAAGGCTTTACTTGATTTAATATTTTGATTGTAATTTGTCGGTTGTCAAGATTGTAATTGACATTAGTTTCTCATAGGGCTTAAGTTAGCTTGACCCTCGTAACCATGTGTCTCCCCTCCCCTCCTTGTAGTTTTTGCCTTTATAAAGCCTGCTGATTTGAGCCTCAAGGTCAAGAGCCTTTAGGGCATGTGCCTGCTCTCCAAGACCAGCAATAAAGGACCATCGGGCCGGCGCCACAGCTCAATAGGCTAATCCTCCGCCTTGTGGCACCGGCACACCGGGTTCTAGTCCCAGTCGGGGCACCAGATTCTGTCCCGGTTGCCCCTCTTCCAGGCCAGCTCTCTGCTGTGGCCCGGGAAGGCAGTGGAGGATGGACCAAGTGCTTGGGCCATGCACCCCATGGGAGACCAGAAGAAGCACCTGGCTCCTGGCTTCGGAACAGCGCAGTGCGCCGGCAGCAGCGCACCTGCCGTGGCAGCCATTGGAGAGTGAACCAAAGGCAAAGGAAGACCTTTCTCTCTGTCTCTCTCTCTCACTGTCCACTCTGCCTGTCAAAAAAAAAAGGACCATCAAAAAAATTTTTTTTATTTATTTGACAGGTACATTTAGATAATGAGAGAGAAAGAGACAGACAGAGAGAAAGGTCTTCCTTCCATTGGTTCACCCCCAAAATGGCCACTACGGCCAGCACTGCACCAATCCGAAGCCAGGAGCCAGGTGCTTCCTCCTGGTCTCCCACGCAAGTGCAGGCACCCAATCACTTGGGCCATCCTCGACTGCCTTCCCGGGCCACAGCAGGGAGCTGGACTGGAAGAGGAGCAACCAGGACTAGAACCCGGAGCCCATATGGGATTCCGACGCTGCAGGCAAAGAATTAGCCAAGTGAGCCACGGCGCCAGCCCCAGGCCCATCAGATGTTATCAGTGTGTGGTGCTCCTCTCTGCACTTGCTCTGTACTACAATTTAGGCAAATACAGCAGCCTTCAGATGACTACACATGTGCAGTCCAGCAAAGCTGGGGTTAGGTAGTACCCTGCAGCAAGACAGAGCAGACACAGGGCCAGCACTGTGGGATATCAGGGAAAGCTGCCGCCTGCAGTGCCGGCATCCCACATGGGCACTGGATCGAGTCCCGGCTGCTCCACCTCCAATCCAGCTCTCTGCTATGGCCTGGGAAAGCAGTCAGTGATGGCCCAGGTCCTTCTGAATACATTAAAATGTACTGTATATGGGTGAAATCATTGTCTTCCCATTCAATTATTTTTTTTTATCTTTTATTTAATGAATATAAATTTCCAAAGTACGACTCACGGGTTACAATGGCTTCCCCCCCCCCATAACGTCCCTCCCACCCACAACCCTCCCCTTTCCCACTCCCTCTCCCCTTCCATTCACATCAAGATTCATTTTCGATTATCTTAATATACAGAAGATCAGCTTAGTATACCTTAAGTAAGGATTTCAACAGTTTGCTCCCACACAGAAACATAAAGTGAAAAATAATAGATGATTTTTTTTAAATGATGATGAAATCAGATCAGACCTACTGTATATGGTGAAATCATTGTCTTCCCATTCAATTATCATTTATAGTCCTTGCCTATATTCCTGTGGAACCAGCATCTTTCTTTGTTTTTAACTGGTTAAGTTTTTTATTTGGTTGAAATTATGCCCTCAACTGTAATGTAAGTGAAAAACACACCACAAAAGAAAAACAGAGAGAGCGAGAGAGAGAGAGAATGGGTGAGAGGGCTGGAAGGAGAAAGGGCCAGAGATGAAAGAGCGAATTTTATTAAATTCTTATAATTTTATTTATGAACCTTATTGACTCTGCTAAACTAAAAAGGACCAGGCATCTGACTTTGCCTGTTTCCAAGTGTTCCTGGGTTGTTTGCTGTTCCATCCCAGTATTATTGAATTTGAGGGGATTCTTGGCTAAGGAAAAGAAAATTTATAAATAGAATACTACTTTGCTTCTCCTTGACAGGCAAAAATGAACAAACAAACAAACCTGTAACATTGGAAAACATTTAAAAATGGCACCTGTATTATACAAGAAGTTTCACTTTCTATTTGAGAAACCCGTTCTTCTTAGCTTTGCATACATCTTAATATTCACCTTCACAGATATTGCCTGAAATAAAGCAACCATCTTACATGATAAAGTTTTGAAAAATCACATTCCATGTGGATAGAAATGTTTAGAAAATAGCAAACCACTCCTTAATTTTTTTCATGCATAATAATGAAAACAGGCTCTCCAATTACAGCACAGCTACAAACACAGCCAAGGGTTGGGGTCGGCACCCTGGCTCACTTGGTTAATGCTCCTCCTGTGGCACTGGCATCCCATATGGGCACCAGGTTCTTGTCCTGGTTGCTTCTCTTCCAGTCCAGCTCTCTGTTGTGACCCGGGAGGGCAGTGGAGGATGGCCCAAGTGCCTGGGCCCCTGTACACGCATGGGAGACCAGGAGCAGGCACCTGGCTCCTGGCTTCAGATCGGCGTAGCTCTGGCTATAGCGGCCATTTGGGGGGTGAACCAACGGAAGGAAGACCCTTCTCTCTGTCTCTCTCTCACTGACTAACGCTATCTGTCAAATAAAACAGAAAAAAAAAAAAAAACTACAGGCAATGGTGTGCACTAGTTTAATGCTAATTGAGTATAATGTTTGGCTACCTCGTGTTTTACAGCAATAAACAGGGCCTGAATTACAAGGATACCATAGAGAGGGATCTTTTTTTAAAATTTGCTTAATGACTTATTTTATTTATTTGAAAGACAGAGTTCGACAGAGAGAAATAGACAGAGTGAGAGGTCTTCCATCTGCTGGTTCACTCCCCAAATCACCAAAACAGCCAGGACTGGACCTAAACAAAGCCAGGAGCCAGGAGCATCTTCCAGATCTCCCACGTGGGGGCAGGGACCCAAGCACTTGGTCCACCCTCCCTGCTTTCCTTGGTGCTTTGGGGGCATTGCTGATGAGAGAATCACCCCAGCCCAGGCCTTCCCAGGTGACACCCTTGCACCTCCCGGACATGTTCTCCTCCCTCACTGACTTCTGGCCTCACAAGTACCTTTGCCTCAGGCCCCTTCCTTCCCAAAGGACTCAGGGGACAATCAGGAGTCCCAGTCGTAAGTGATTCTTCAACAACCAATGACAACACCCAACTCCTCCAGGGCCATACCATCAAGACCTCAACTACAGGGGCTGGCATTGCAGCACATCAGTTTAAGCCGTGGCCTTCAATGCCCACATCCTGTATGAGAGTGGATTCAAGTCCCAGGTGCTCCACATCCAATCCAGCTCTCTGATAATACATGCAAGGAAGCAGTGCAAGATGGCCTAAGTTCTTGTGGCCTAAGTTCTTTCCCATGGGGTTAACCTGAATGGAGTTCCAAGCTCCTGGTTTCAGACTATCCCAGCCCTGGCCATGCAGCCATTTGAGGAGTGGAACACCAGGGCGAGGGAGGGAGGAGGAAATATTATTAAACTCTTAGACTTGTACACATGAACTTTATGGACTCTGTTAAAAACAAAAAAAAAATCAATAAATTTTCACAAAAGCTAAAAACTAAAAACAAGGAATGCTGGTTCCAGAAAACCAAAATAATAACCTTTAAAGCTATAGATTATATTAGACTTGAGAGTATTTCAGAAAAAAGTGAGATGTATTTCAACAAGTGCTAGTGGGTGGAAATGGTTGCAAATGCAGGAGTTAGGGATGTATTCTGAAGACAACCCTCAGGCCTTTTTGAATTTCCTTAGTTCAAAACAATGTGTGTAAAATTTTGAGTGGAACCAGCACTGTGGTTGGAAGGCAAAGCCACCGCCTGCAATGCTGGCTGCCCATCAGGCCATAGCTTCAAGTCCTGGCTACTCCACTTTCCATCCTGCTCCCTGCTAACACACATGGGAAAGTAGTGGAAGATGGCCAAGTCCTTGGGGACCTGCACCACGTGGATGATATCTAGGGGCTCCCTAGCCACGAGTCCTCTCGTTAATGTACTAAAGACACTCCCTCCACGTGGGTGGGTGAAATGGTTTCAGGAACTAGATGTCAGGAAAAGAAATGGCACCAAACACATCTTACCGTGTCAGTCTCCAATCTCCTTATTGCTTTGCATTTTTCTTTTATTTTTT